ATGTTGAGAAAAGCAAAGACAAGTGGAAATGTCATTGGTTGGAGCCTTGTTGGTTCTGCTTGTCAGTATAGAAACACCATAAATTTAAGTTAGTGTAAGGAAGGCAATGGATTTATAACTGCTCATGCTAATAACACTGTATCATGGCATAGAGGAGGAATAATGGAACTGTATCCACATTTACAATATTCTTACCAAAACCATATATGAAAAATAGGAATTGCATCAGAACATGTATCTCTTTGGATTGGAAATTATTCGTACAATAATATTGATAATATTACTAGCCCTAAATGTAAAAGATTATATTGTTCAAAATTATTTTTTATATATTTGTTTATGAGTAAGACCTCCTTTTCCTGACACAGACCCTAAACTGACAGCAATAGCTGCCCCAATAATTTTGGCCACCCAAAGGTAATAAAGGAGGTCAGAATTGCTTCCACTGTGGAATGTTGGGCCACTTCAGTAAACAGTGTCACAAGTGAAAACCACAGGTAGGGAAGGGTGTAGAGAGGAAGCTCCCACTCACTTGCTTTAAGTGTGGATCTCAAGGTCACTTGGGCAAGGGGAGCCCTCATCAGTTCCTCATGGCTGACAGAGGACTGACAGGCCCCAGTTCCCAGTTGGAAACAAAGGTGGACACTTCAGCAATTCAGGTCCTCCCAGAAGAGCCATGGGTGAGCAATGACGTTGCTAATAAGTATATCTGTGTTTCCTGTCGTCCCTCCCTCCCCCTGACACAGAAGTCTATTATTCGGTCCTACAAGCCTTCTCAAGTCCACCTTCTTCCCGCTATTCCTTAGTTGTTGGAATTAACAGAAAACCTCATAAGCAATTCTTTACTCTGTCTCTGTCTTTCATGTGGACTTCCTAGCTGTGAAACAACCCAATGGTAAATGGAATTTGGTCCAGAACTTAAGAACAATAAATGACATAGTTGTGCCTCTACATCTTGTGGTTCCTAACCTTTATACTATAATAGGCAAAGTGCCAGCCAATATGCCTTTTATTTTAAGAACTATCTTCCCTCTGTAACTTGGTTTTTATCACTGTTAGAACATCTAGTTGGAATATTATTGCTTTTCATTTTTGACCCATGTATATTTTTAACTTGTTAGTCAAAGTTGTGTCTTCTAGGCTGCAACAGTTCCATGATGCATCTCCAAGGATATGAACCTATATCCCTAAGCACAACTGATAACAGTGCATCTAAATTCCAAAATCAATCACCACAGTAGTATTCATGTTTCCTAGTGCCAAAGGGGCCCTTTAGAGTAGTGAGAGATCTTCACCCCGAAACCTGTTGTTTTTCAGTGCCATCGAGTCGTAGGCAACTCATAACAATTCTGTGAACGAAAGACCTGGACATTTGTGTGTGTGACTTTCATCCTTTCTCCAGGTTCATAGGGTTTTTGGAGGCAAGCTATTTACGGAAGTGATGCCACTCCTGCTTCCAAGCTTGTTTTAACCAGGGAGCGCCACCAAACACTGTCCACCATGGGTAACTGTTATTGCATTTGACACATCAGTGTCAAGAATGTTCAGCTTCACAGCAACCACAAGTTACCTCTGTACAGCAAGTGGACACACCAGGGCTATACAACTTGGAGAGACCAGTTGGCCCAGTGGACTGAAAGCAATGCTACCAAGCCAAAGGTGGGTGACTCTAAAACCCCGAATCCTACAATGCCCTTTTTCCAGCAGGAAGTAGCTAAGAGAATATAGTGCCCCCTCTCCTAATGAATCAGGGTGAAATCTCTCTCAGGGAGGAGTGATAGGGAATGGCAAAGGACATGTTGTCTAAGGAGATTAATCAGAACTGGTTTTGACATGGACTGTGGCAATATAACAATAGAAACAGACTCAAGGAATATTCATCCTGAATCCTTCTGATTATATGGAGATTTTTGAAAGTATTTCTTTGAGTTTACTGTGCTTAATTTGTTTTATTTGTTTGTGTATTAAGGATGGAGAAAACAAAAACAGGCAAGAAGGAATCAAAGAAGAGAAGAAGCCAGTACTGATCTAGATGATAACATAATTATAATAAAAACAAAAGGGGGGAAATATGGGAAGCCAATTCTAAGTATTTGTAATAAACCTAATGCTATCAGGATGTGGGGAGGTGAGGTACTAGCTAGAGTACACCCTGAGGCACTAAGGCAATCCTTAAGTGTTTATCAGATTCTTGCATTTGCTGACCCCTCCCTCATGAGTCAAGGGGAAGATTTCCAATAGAAAGAGTTTGGATTAATTTACATTGAATTATCTTTGTGCTTTACTTCCTGATAATTTTCAATAAAGATGGAAGCTGGAATGGAGGTCTTCAGTCAAGAACTTCTGGCCCCCTGTTTTTCGTGCTCTCTGTTCTATATCATTCCTGGCTATCTGTCTCATTATTAATAATTATAAAAATACTTTACCCTTGGTCTGCAACAATGATTGTTGCTGTGTACCCTCCAGTTGGAACCTACTCCTAGCTGACCCTCCAGTGGGTTTTCAGAGGCAGTAAATTACAGGGGAACTGCCCACAGGACATGCTGTTGATAGGGAATGACAAAGGAAATGCTAACAAAGTAAATAAACCACAAACTATTCTGGACAGTGGTGTGAAATGGTGGCAAAACAACACAAAGAAAACAGACTTCATCTAAGAAAGGAGATAGATCTAAAAAGAGATAAATCCATCAAAAGCTGTGCACCACCATAAAGCCGGTAAACTTTACCCCCTCAAACAAATATATATAAATATATAAATACACACACACACACACACACTCTCATTTGGAAGCAGGAGTGGCACCCACTTCCACAATAGCTTGCCTCTGGAAACCCTATGAACCTGGAGAAAGGATGAAAATTATACAGGAGGTATCCAGGACTTTTTGTTCATAGGATTACTATGAGTTGTCTGCGACTTGATGGCACTTAACAACAACATATATACTCGTAGCCAGGAAATTAAGACAAATTGCATTGGGAAAGTCTGCTATCAGAGACCTCTCCAAGGTACTGAGGAGCAACGATGTCAGTCTTGAGACTAAGGTGCACCTGATACAGGCCATGATCTTTGCCATTACTTGTTATGCTTCAGAGAGCTGGACAATGATTAGGGATGATAAGAGAGTGATGCCTTTGAGCTTTGGTGCTGGGGAAGAGTGCTGAATATACCATGGACTGCTAGAAAAACAAGTTCATCCCAGAGAGGTTGAAACTAGGCTGTTCCTTGGAGGCAAGGATTCTGAAGCTTCCTATGACATACATTGGACCTGTTGTAAGGAGGGACCAGTCCTTGAAGAGGGACAGCGCAGGAGAGGAAGACCCTCGATGAGACTGAGGCACTGGGCTAATGGGTAGGCTGTTGGACACGATGAGATTGGCACAGGATAGAGCAGGGTTTAGGGCTTTTGTAACAGGGTAGCTATGAGTCGCAGGCGACTTGCCTGCACATAACAACGACAACATATAAGGATAGGATCAGACTTTCCTGAAATCCGTTTGTAGTCCGTTAGGAACGTCTGATAACCCTCCGTTTTGCTTGTTCTCACCTGGTGTCGGTATCTTTCTTGTAACAATGTCCTATCAAAGTCTTCTGAGAACTTTATAGTTCTTACTAGAAGAGGGCCCTGGACCTCTTTGGAAATCATCCTCTTGACGCCGGGTCAAGGAGGGCTGCAGGGGGGCACGGTGGCGCGGTCAGTGGAATCCCCGCCATGACAAGGAGGGCTTCAGGCCGGCCCTGCGGCGCGGTTAGGGGGCTCCCGGCCACAATAGTGCGGGCAGCAGGCGGCCCCGCGGAGCACCCGGGAGTCCCCACCATAACACGGAGAGCAGCAGGTGGCCCAGCGGAGCACCCGGGAGTCTCGCCATAACACGGAGAGCAGCAGGCGGGCCCGCGGAGCACTCTGTGGGTTCCCCGCCATGACACAGAGAGCAGCAGGCGGCCCCGCGGACCTGGCGGAGACTCCCGCGCCGGGGGCGGGGCTGACCTCTGTGGGCGGGGCCTGTCGCGGAGCGCGGGTCCGCACGTCGGCGTCGGACGGCGACGGAGCCGCGGAGAGGTGAGGTGAGCGGGCCCGCTGTGGGGGCGTGGGATCTGTGAGGTGGGGGCGAAGACAGTGAGGCTACACGGGGCGGCCAGGGTGAGGGTGAGACGACGCGGGCGGGAATGAGACGACGCGGGGCGGCTGCGGGGTGGGGGGAGGTGAGGCGGGGCGGCCGGGGCGGGGCTGGAGGATGCGGGGCAGCTGAGCTGTGGGGTGGGCGACGCGGTCTAGCGGCGGAAGCTGAGATGAGGGACATGGAGTGACTGTACTAGGAACTGCGGGACAGGCCGACCCTGGACTCGACAGGGAGAGTCATGGCAGCGCGGACGCGTTATCGGAGGCTTCTGGAGGCAGGAACTCTGCTGCGGCCCCCAGAAACTCTGCTGGGCCGGGGTGGGTGGGGGGGCGCGGGCATTCGGAGGCCGGTGCCGAGGTGGAGGCGGCCTCCTCGCAGCCCCGGCTGCCGTTCTTCAGGTTAGCTGGTGCCCGCAGGGGTGCTGGGCCCATCCTTTCCCGGAGTGAGGCGAGAAGACAGCGAGCTGGGGTAAAAGATGATGGGGATGAGGCCCCAAGAGGAAGGAGGGACCCAAAAGTGACCTCCGGGAATTAGTTTGACCTTTCTTGGCTGAACCATTAAACCGAGGAAGACTGGCTTCTGGGAGAGATATGGTCTTTTCTATTCAATCAACAAATATATAAGGAGCACCTCACAACCTAATGACTTAGGTGATGTGGGACGTTGGGGTCTAGTAGTGGACCCAGAGGCATAACCTTTACCCAGTCGGCGCTCCATGGCGAAACCTAGACAAGTGGTTTGAGAGCAGCACCTCAGTTGGTGCTTTGAAGGACAGCACTGTAGGCATCTGGATAGTGTGTGAATGAGATAACAGTGTTTGAGGTAGACCAGCTTTCCCTGTTCTGATTTGCAGGTCCAGAGGCAGTAACTGAACGATGTGTGGGCGAACATCGTGCCACTTACCTCGAGATGTTCTCACCAGAGCTTGTGCCTATCGGGACAGGCAGGGCCAGCCGCAACTTCCAGAATGGAGAGACCCGGACAAATACTGCCCCTCTTACAACAAGAGCCCACAGTCAAACAGCCCAGTGCTTCTGTCTCGTCTGCACTTTGAGAAGGTAACTGTTTTATCTCACACCAGCTTCTGACTCAGCCTTGTGGTGCTCACCTCTTCCAATCTGGTTTCATATATGCTCAGCCTCTAGTATGGTATAGAACTCCAGCCTCTTGATGTTCTACCCCTATTGTTTCCCCCCTGCTCCTATTTTAGAACTGTCTCTGAGTCCCACTGAAAGAAGTTTTCTTAACATAACTTTAGAAAGAATTCTTTAGGCTCCCTTGATGTGCCTTTTTTTTTCTTTTCTCTTCCCTGCCTCTTTTTATTTAAACAGTCCCTCCGTAAGGACTATCCACTTAGCTTTGTATCCAAAGACAAAATTTGTAGGTGAAACGAGTTAGCCATCGTTACAGACTGGTTAATTTCAGGGTCGAAAATATGGAACGCTTCACTAATTTGCGTGTCATCCTTGCGCAGGGGCCATGCTAATCTTCTCTGTATCGTTCCAATTTTAGTATATGTGTTGCAGAAGCGAGCACGATGTGCCTTTTCTATAGCATGGCCTTTTTCTGTCGAGTTGTCCACGACTCATAGCGACCCTAAAACAAAAGGCCTAAAGCCTTTCTATAACTATCATAGTTTCTCAAAGTTCACAGAGTTTTCAGAGGCATGTTGTTTAGGAAATGGATGCCACTCCTGCTACAAATAGCATGGCCTTACTGCATGCCAAAAACACCTTGTATTTCAATACACTTATTTAAGACAGCAGCTTTAAATCCTCACAGCCTGTCATTGTTTGAATATCTTAAAAAAAGAAAAAAAAGGTCAAGCTGCTTAGCAGACTCCTTGAATCAGATTGTCCAGGACTAGGTCAGGATTAATTTATATCCAGCTTAATCTAAACATTTAGATTATCTTGAGTATTAAAAAGTTTCTTGTGTTTTTAATCCTTTTATGTTTCTTTCTTACTGAAGTTAGAAACTGTGTCTGATTTGATTAGTTGAGGTTTAATTGTGTTTATACTAGATTCTTGGAGTAGCCAGTAATTACAGTTATGATTTAGTTCTTTGCTTTATATCCAGGACGTCTGTGTCTGTGTGTGTCAGGATAGATGGATATAGTGTGGTATAGATAATAAAGATGCTTCATTTCAGAATGAATAGTTTTCCTATATCTTGATAATTTTAAATGCCTTTAATTTTTAAAATAAAAATTCTTTTTCTCTTGGATTTTTATTACATTTGTTGACTAATGCTGAAATTTTTCTATTTATTATTATTTTATTGTCTTTTGTGTGTACTGTCAAATTGAATCAGACTGGTATAGGAGGAGATTGCCCTTACTTCTCTAGCAGAGCACCTGGTGGATTCAAATCGTGTATCTCTGGGATTGCAGTGCAGCTTCTTGCCACCAGGCCACCAGAGCTCAAATGCTGAAATTATTTTACGTTTTGGCTTTATTTCTCGCAATCACCTGTTATGCATTAGAGAGTTGGACAATGACCAAGGAGGATAGAAGGAGAATTGATGCCTTTGAGCAGTGGTGCTGGAGAAGAGTATTGAGAATACCTTGGACTGCTAGGAAAACAAATAGATTTGTCCTGGAGAGGGTTAAGCCGGGTGGCTCCTTGGAGGCAAGGATTCTGAGGCTCCGTCTAACTTACTTTGGACATGTAGTGAGGAGAGACCGGTCCTTAGAGAGGGACATCGTGCTTGGGAGGGTGGAGGGACGGCGCAGGAGAGGAAGGCCCTCTATGAGGTGGATTGATTCAGTGACTGGGATAATTGGGATGGGAGTGTCAGAGACAGTGCGATTGGCACAGGACAGAGCGGAGTTTAGGGCTGTTGTACATAGGGTCGCTATGAGTCGCAGGCGACTTGACGGCACATAACAACAACAACTTATCAGAACTCTTGTGAGTAATATACAGAAAAACCAACCAAACCTGCTGCTGTGGAGTTGGTCACTTACCACTGGGTTTTCAGGGCTGTAAATCCATACAAGAGGAGACTGTCCATCTTTACCTGGTGGATATGAACAACTGTCCTTTACATTAACAGAGCAACAAAAATGACTTATTTCTGTGTTACAAAGATCACATTAATTCTAAAATAAAAATCCCAAACAGCATTGATCTCTTTGGTTGAATGAAAATATTTGCATGAAATTATCTTAAGTCACTTCCCTATTAAACCAGAAAAAAAAAATCTAATGAAGTAAATCAAGATCAAATCAGTGACTAACTTGAAAAGGAATGGGTAACATAAAACATGTTTCAAAGAAAGGCATAATTTGGAGTGAGCAGATAGAAGGACTGTATTTATGAGCCTTATTTTTTTTTAGTCTTAATTAACTTTAGCTGGAAGAAAAAAGTTTAATGTGTAAAGTATAGAAAAATTGTGACTTCCTGTAGGCTATCAGTTAATGGGGAACACAGCTAGAACTCATCCAGGGATCTGTCCCCACTCCAGTTTTTCTGGAACTGAAAATAAAGATGGTAAAAAACCAATTCTCAACCTCATAATCGACTCACAGCTGACCCTGCTATAGTTTTTAGAGGCTGTAAATCCCATGAAAAAAAGACTTGGAAAAAAAGAAAAGACTGCCCATTTTTTAACCATGTGCCACCAAAGCTTCTGAGAAGGTAGAGCCCCTCTCAAACCCAGACAACATTTTGGATCAGTGGGATGAATTTATTAAGTGTTTGGTCAGATTTTATTAAGATTCTAGGACTTCTAAATTTGTATAAATATTTGAGGTTTTCTTTCTCCCATACCTATAAATTATAATGCAAAATTAGAACTGTTTCAGTGCTTCATTAGTCCAAATCATCAGCAGTTAGTACATAAGTACAAATTCCAACATTTGCATTTGAAACCACTGATTTACAAATAACTTCCCCTTTGCTTTTTCTACTCCAGTGCTACCAGCTGTCTGATCAGGAGCCCAGAATGATAGAAGAAAAGATGACTAATAGTAATATTTCAGTATTTTGACTTCTTAGACCCTTTTTATTCATTGCCCCGAGTAGGAGACAGCCTCAGGTGTAGGTGTGGTTTACAGTTGTCCATTGGCATAGTCAAATGTTAGAGTTAAATAAAATTTGTGAGAGCAAGATATCTCAATCTTGGCACTGTTAGAAATTTGGGAAGAATAATTTATTGCTATAGGGGACTGATCTATGCTTTGTAGATTATTTATTAGCAACATCTCTGGCTTGTACTCAGTTGATTCTAATTAACACTCCTCTGTAAGTCCTGACAACCAAAAATACCTCCTGGCATGTATAAGAAATTGCCCTCTGTTGAGAACCACCAATTTTTATAAATTTTTGATGAGAAGTTAACTGCTGTTGAACATTATATAAAGATAACTTTTATTTTCTCCCCAGTTTCCCCACCCCCAGAAATAGGGGCCTTTTACTTTAAAAGCATATTCTGTAGAAAAGGAATTCTGGAACAAGCCTCTGCTTTCACCTTTCCCTGAAGATTTTACAGCTCCATTTGTTTTCTCTCGATAGTCTTTTCCTTAGTTTTCTTGCATTCTCATTGGCTTTATTCTTTATGCCAGTAGGTATATAGTGTACCTACACTCCTTCCATTTTTAAGGTATGTATAGATATCTTATACAGATTGTTCACAGCTTCAGTTTGCGTGGCTCCACAGTCCACACTCTCGGCACCAGTAGCCAGGAAATTAGAAGACATATTTCCATGAGAAAGTCTGCTATTAGGAACCTCTCCAAAGTACTGAAGAGCAGTGGTGTCTCTATGGAGACTAAGGTGCATCTGATACAGGCCATGGTCTTTGCTATCACTTGTTATGCATCAGAGAGTTGGACAGTGACTAAGGAGGATAGAAGGAGAATTGATGCCTTTGAGCTGTGGTGCTGTAGAAGAGTATTGAGAATACCATGGACTGCTAGGAAAACAGACAGATTTGTCCTGGAAAGGGTTAAACCGGGTGGCTCCTTGGAGGCAAGGATTCTGAGGCTCGTCTAACGTACTTTGGACATGTTGTGAGGAGAGACCGGTTCTTGGAGAAGGATATCATGCTTGGGAGGGTGGAGGGACAGCACAGGAGGGGAGGGCCCTCTATGAGGTAGATTGATTCAGTGACTGGGATAATCGGGATGGGAGTGTCAGAGACAGTGCGATTGGCACAGGACAGAGCAGAGTTTAGGGCTGTTGTACATGGGGTCGCTATGAGTCACAAGCGACTCGATGACACATAACAACAACAACATAGATACATACATAATCCACTGTTGTCAAGTTGATTCTGCCTCATACAGCCCTCTACCAGATTTCTGAGTATCTAAATCTTTATGAGAAGACCACCGATCTTTCTTTCAAGGGAGAGCAATTGGTGGATTCAAATTACCAACCTTTTGATTAGTGGCCAAGCATGTAACACTGTACACACCAGAGCTCCCTGCTGTGAAAAGGCAAGATAGAGAGGAAGCAGGACAGAATCTTATCAGGATCATCCTGGAGAGAGAAACTATAATCAGAGCAGCTCTTTTCCCAAAATAGTATCACCACCAATTTCTGTCCTTGAATTTTATCCTCTTAAGATCTTCCTGATTCAGCTTTTATCTCTCTAGGCAGCTCTCTGCTGGTATAGTCCATAGGGAGTTGCACAGAGGCAGCACTAATCTGGTGATTCAAATCCTCCAGTTGCTTCAAAGAAGAAAGATGGCAGTCTTCCTCCCATGTGACTTCCAGTTTCCTAAAAACCCACTGGAGGATCAGCTATAAGTTGATTTCCAACTCAGCAAGTTCTTTTATCTCTCAAGTGTTTTCTTACTATTTTTTATCATAGCCTTAGGTAAACATTAAATACCTATTCTGTGCTACATAAGGGACTTGGTAGCCTAGTGGTTAAGAAGTTACGCCTCCAAGCAGGAGGTTTGAATTCATTAGCTGTTCTTTAGGGGAAAGTTGCATAGTCAGCTTCCTTGTGATTTGCTGTCTCTAAAAACCTATAATCCATGGAGGGTTGTTTATGAGTCGTTTCTGACTCCATGACAATGACTTTGACTTTTATCTCTGTCCCATACATTAAAACTTTATTATCTGTAATTCTTCAAAATAATCTTAAAGGTAAGTATTATTGAATCTGTTTTTACTATTAAATCCACTGCCATCAAGTCATTGTTAACTCATAGTGACTAGATAACAGAGGAGAATCACCCCATAGGATTTCAAGGCTATAAATCTTTCTGAAAGCAGATCGTTCAGATTGTTACATTTTTGTTGTTGTTGTCGTTATGTGCCGTCAAGTCACCTGCGACTCAAAGAGACCCTGTGAACAACAGCTAAACCTAAACGCTGCTCTATCCCTTGCAAATCTCATCATTATCTCCCACACGCCTATCCTCATTGCCTTAGTGACTGAATCAATCCATCTCATCAAGGGTTTTCCTCTCCTGCACTGTCCCTCCACCCTCCCAAACGATGTCTCTCTCTAAGGACTGGTCCCTCCTTGCAACATGTACGAAGTATATCAGACGAAGTGTGAGAATATTTGCCTCCAAGGAGCAGCCTCGCTTCACCCTCTCCAGGACAAACTTGTTTGTTCTCCTAGCAGTCCATGGTATATTCAACACTCTTCTCCAACATCACAGCTCAAAAGCATCAACTCTCCTTCTATCATCCCTAGTCATTGTCCAGCTCTCTGATGCATAGCAAGTAATTGCAAAGACCATGGCTTGTATCAGATACACCTTAGTCTCCAGACTGACATCGTTGCTCTTTAGTACTTTGGAGAGGTCTCTGACAGCAGCTTTTCCCAGTGCAATTCATCTTTTAATTTCTTGGCTGCTGGTTCCAAGAGTGTTGATTGTAGAGCCACATAAACTGAAGCTGTCAGCAATCTCAGTCTCTTTAGCGTCTATCATGATGCTGCCAATTGGCCCAGTAGTGAGAATCTTTGTTTTCTTGATGAGCTTCAATCCATACTGATTGTTACATATACTCCATTAAATCAACTGGTAGATTCAAAT